GTATACGGGATCCGTTTACGGTCTCCGTATATCTCCGTTTTTCTCCGTTAACGGTCGTTTACGACCGTGGGTGTTCGACCTGGGTGTTGGTTTCAAGGATAGTTTGCTTGTTCATATGAATCCTAGGTATTTAAATTCGTTTACTAATTCGTTTTTTTGTCGGTTCACTTTTATGTTTACTCTTGGCTTTTTTATTTGTGTATAAAATAACTGCGCCACTGTTTTTAACATGTTTATAGATTGCTTCCATTTTTTTTGAATATGCAAATATTCGTTCACACACTCGAGTACCTCCTTGTTGTAGATATTTGGTCATAGGGTCTAGTTTTATTGAGATAGGGGTCTTATAATAACACACAGATCATCCGCGAAAAGATGACCTGAACGTGCTCCTAAACGTTGAACTAAATCACAATGAAATATGATAAATAGGTATGGACTCAGACTACTGCCTTGAGGCAAACCAATGTTTATATAAAAGGTTTCTGATGACTTTTCTCCGAATACCACGAACCCTCTTCTATCTTTTAACCAGAATATTATCATCTTCAACGTGCTAAGCGGTAGACCTAATTTTCATTGCTTACGAGGGAACAAATCAAACTGTCGAAACGCTTTCGAGCCAAGAATGGGCTCATGTTATAGAGCTCAGTGAACTATGTTTACCATGAAAAGGGTTCGGACACATATCCTGTTTCCAAGGAGATCGAATGTTTTTAGCATTACAGCTGTATATTTCTATGATATCTCAAGCACATTGTACCAAAATGATCTCCAATTTTGACAAAATCTTCAGCGTTTGTAGAACTTTTAATTCCAACCGTTTTCATACAAAAATTTTTTCAAAACGCTTTTGTTGTGATAGAGATAGACTCAAAACACTTTAGCTGGTAAAGTTAGGGTGTGTGTGTGTGTGTCATTCTCTTCGTCACACTCATATCCACATCAACTCACAACCCCACATCCACACCCACACCCCACACTCAACTATAATTGTTTTGAAGTTTTATAGGGCAGTGGAGATCATTTATTGTCTTTCGAAGAGTTTTCGAGTTCAGTAGATCATGATTTCACAGTTATGAAGACAGGCTCCTTCATTATTGACACATTTTTCAAATAGTGTAGCTAGTATTATTTCTGAAAAACTGAAATCAGAATAGTGTAACTCTAGGTCTGTATAAAAGAAAAATTGGCAAACTCCTATTGTTATTTCAAGCGTATTATTTATTTCCTAAATTACTGTGTATGGAAATGACTTTAGTCTGCTCAGAGGTGCACCAGTTAAAATCGGACTAGGCACTTTTATTTCTGGGAGTTGGACTGAAACTAAATCAACATACAAGGGAACTTTTCCAGATGTCATTTTCAGGTTTCCATAATTTTTTTTTGTCAATACATACTACATAATATTCTAGTGAAAACCCTAAAAAAGATTTCATTTCCTATTGAGACTTAGCGAAGCTAATGCATATTTGGAACATTTATTTGCTAGAGACCCTACAGGACCCCTAATTGTCAGAGAAATCATGTTTTTCAGTTTTGTCTTGAAGCTATGTCTATTTGAAGGTCTCATATACCGTAGCTTGTATGAAGAGTTTCATAATTCATGGATTTTGTATCTTTGAAATAGGAACTCATCAAAATAGTCTTCTATTATTTGTTATGCTTCGAAAAGCATCTAGTTCTGAAAAGATTTCTACTGGGATATAGAAAATCTATAAACTTTGAAATTCTGCATACAAGTAGCTGTTTATGAGACTTTCAAATAGCGATAGTTTCAATAAAAACATTCAATAGCAGGGACTTTCAGAAAACCTGGAGCTCTATTAGAGTCTCTAGAAAATACACATATTAAAAGCTCGATGGCTCCACGAACCGTGAGTCTGAATAGAAACTGAAATCTTTTAAGAGTTTCCATTCGAATACTATTTAGTATTTACGAGCGAAAAATCATTAAAATTGAAAGAAGACATCTTGGTATGTTTAATTGTTAGGTTGCTATTATAGTAGAATTTGATATTTGATGAGTGGAGCCGGAGTCAACTTGGAGTTAGTAGATTTTTATCAATCACGATACAATTTTTGTTGACTTAGTAATCTGCTAAATGAAGATAAAAATATTTGACAGGGAAAATATCGATTACAGAAGCAAACGCAAAAGGATTCAACTTTATCAAATTACATCAGATAGAGCATGGCTTTTCATAGTCAGAGTTGTGGCAGAGTTGTCAAAAAATCTACGTTGGAATTGAGTTCTAATTCAACAAATATGGGTGTGGTTAGAATGACACTCAGTCGAATTCATCCATTTCTGACTTTGTCTCTCTTTATATTTAGAGCATTTCTTATATGGATACCAAACCGACTGGTCAACTCCATTCTAAACTGTTTGAGTAAGCCATTATTATATTTTATATCAAATGACTCCATCTTATTCAATTCTTGTAAAGTAACATTGCAAAGATCGAGAAAGGCATTGGTTTTGAATTATTGACTCTGTTGGTAACATTATTCATGACCATTGGTTGTTTAATAGCATCTTTCATGATCAATTGGATATTGACTTTGATCATGCTATGTTTGATGCTTCTGTTCATTATTAGCTCACATGTCTTTTCTAAGGTATGAAGTCTTTTTCAATGAATTAAATCTGTATGAATTTTCACAGCTCACTGCTAATGAAGCAATGAAGGAGTTAATGACATACTCGAAAGCAGGGCAAATCGTTCAAGAAGTATTTAGTTCACTGCGAACTGTTCTTTCTCACAATGGTAGCAAATTTGAACAAAAACGGTAGAGATACATATAAAAATAGTTTACTCATATGACATCATAAAGCATATTGTTATTTTTATTGCATTTAGATATGAAAGAGAATTGGATTCAACTCGTTGGAGTAGCATACGCAAAGATCTCATATATGGAATTTATATTGGTTGGACATCTCTAAACAATCACCTAGTTTATGCAGTTGGTTTTATCTTTGGTTCTCTTCTTATGTCGCACAACGGTTATCATAGTTTGAATATTAGTGATATTCTTGTCGTAAGTAATCCATATCATCAGTCAATAAGGAAATGAATATAATACCACTACTATTTTGATGCAGGTCGTCTGCAGCTTTGCACGATGTTTCAGTTTCTACAGTGATTTTGCTATTTTCTTTCAAGCACTTTCAGAAGCTCGAGGCGCAGCAGTAGTAGTGTTTCAACTTATTGACGAGGTAAATCCTAGTAAATTGAGATTTCATATCGATAGCAATATTTTTTATTTGTTTACATGATATAGGGAAATGAAGCTAGCTTCAATGAAACAGACATATGGAAAGAGGATACAGAATCGATCTATAATATCAATGGTGATATTGAATTGGACAATGTCAACTTTACTTATCCATGTCGAAAAGAAGTATCAGTTCTGCATAATCTCTCTCTTATTGCTCGTGCTGGTCAGACAACGGCTCTTGTAGGTTCAAGTGGCTGTGGTAAGTCTTTTCAAAAACAAAAATGTTAAAACTGATTTTCTTTGTATTCATAATTTATTCATAGGAAAAAGTACATGTATATCACTGTTGCTTCGTTATTATGAACCTTCCTTGGGTCAAATAACGATCGATGGTCGGTCAATAACAGATTACAATGTCAAACAACTGCGGCAAAACATTGGAGTTGTTAGTCAAGAACCTGTATGATTTGTTTTTTCTTTTGTCTTTTTTCTCTTTCTACTTGATTTTGTATTGTAATAGATTCTGTTTAGTATGAGTATTTATGAAAATATTCGTTTTGGTAAAGTAAATGCAACACAAGCAGAAATTGAAAATGCAGCACGAGAAGCAAATGCACATAATTTCATCATGCAATTACCATATGTTTGTGCCAAATATTTATATATATATATATATGTATGGATTATTATTTCTTGTTTAGAAATATGAAACACTTGTTGGTGAACGTGGTATACAGTTGAGTGGTGGTGAAAAACAACGTATTGCATTGGCTCGTGCTCTTGTCAAGCAACCAATTGTCCTTTTACTGGATGAAGCAACAAGTGCGCTTGATAATGTTAGCGAAAAAATTGTTCAAGAAGCGCTCGATCAAGCATGCAAAGGTAACAATCATTGTTTTGTGCATATCATATTGATATATAATATTCTGTATAGGTCGTACAACTATTGTTATTGCTCATCGTTTGACTACAATTCATAAGGCTCATCAAATATATGTATTAGATAATGGAACTGTGATTGAGCATGGTACACATGAAAGATTAATGGCAAAAGAAGGAGGAAAATATCAAGCAATGATCAAACGTCAACAAACGGAAAAAATTGATGATGACAACGATGATCTGATGAACATACAAAAAGCAACAGAAGAAGATGAAAAGTCGATATGTATGCCCTAGAGAATATACTGAGTTAAGGGTACCCAAAAAAGTACCCTGATACCAGTATGTCACAGGAACTTTTGGGTACCAAAGT